TTTTTTTTTTCCCTCCCTCAAGGACGCCGGTGTGTGTTCGGACGTGTTTAGAGCTGCATGACTCATGCAGTCCAGTGTCACTCAGACCTCAGTGGAAAGCAGGACGTCCACAAGGCAAACAGTGATGCATGTGCTATTCAAGGAATGAGGATGAAAACGGAGCTGGAAAATGTGTTTCTACTGCCCCTATTCTAAGTTTTCCATAACTTATTCAGCTTTCGCCTCCCTCCTCCTCTTCCTTGTTTTCTTCGCGGGCGATTCTTAAAAAGTGATGACGACAAATGCAAGCGGATGACTGAACAGCAGGTCCACATGAATCCCCCCAAAAGCGCTACAGAGGCATATGGTGTGCGGAAAGCGCATTTAAGACGGCATGTAAAGCAGGGGCCCGAAAATCTATTGGTGCCCCAAGAGAATATCTTCAGAAACTGAGCCGTCAGTCTTTGTTACCACCTCTCTTGACGGTGATACACATCAGATCAAGCTGAAACTAAATCATAGTCACCGCTTCATTTGACGTAGGTCACCTAAAAGTCAACCTATCGCTGACAGGGAACTGTTCGGTTCTACTGGTGAGATTCTGTTAAAAAGCTAATCTTATTCCTATTACCCAAAATGCTTTGCATTATTTATGTGTGCAACTTTCAGATCTGCATTCTTATGCTTAAGCAAACTGTCTATGAAAGCCACCCAAAGTGGCTATAAACACAATATAATGAATTTATGGAGTTACCCAGCATGCCGGGTTCTTGGATTTCTCATCTTTTGGGAACCACAGGAAACTGAACCCCTGTTTCCAGAAATAATCTCATTTCACTTTGGGTGCACGTTCAATACGCTTGCTGGAGTCAAAAGCTAAATTTTGCCCAACTAAATGAGCAAGTGACAAGCAGTCGTGCTCAGACGTGTCCATTCAACAGAGAAAAGGAAATTTGTGTTAATCACAAACCAGTTAGTTCCAAATGCGCTGCACCACATACAATTAGCAGTCAAAATACACAGCTTTACTGTCGCTACTGCTGTCTTTCCAGAAGTTGTGCCCACAAATAACCTTACAGGAAAAATAAGCGGTTCATATGTTACCTGCAGTAGACTAATCTCTTTGCGTCCATGTTTAATAGAAACCAATATTGGTTGGTCGTGAGAGATCAGGACCAAAGAAGGTTTCTGCCATCTTAAAGCAACTGAAATCGCAGATGTTATAGTAATTTAAGTAATCACTGTTTTATGAACACAAACCATTTTTACATTTGCTCTCTTGTTCTTTTCCAAAGCATCTTATGATTTTCTACAGGAAACACTGATCAGAGGTAGTGCACCACCATTGATCTTCCCCAGTGAAACATACTGAGTAAAAGTAACAGAACAGTAACAGAAGGTGGTGCAAAAATCCATAAATTTTGCATTTTCTACAACTATAATATTTTTGATCTTCAAAATCTCTCAGTTTATAGGCAATTGGTGCCACCCTGCCTCAAACTTCTGCTTCCTGCGTAAATAACCATTTATTTTAAACATAATGACAGCGTAAACATTCATAAAATAGCGTTTGCTTAAACGCTGTTTTACTTAATTCCCTTTTCACGACTAAGTCTTTTCAGGATGGCAGACCTCCACTTTGTCCTTGGTCCATCTGGACGACACACTAATCAGAATTTGTATTAAATGAAGACACCAAGAAACTTATCTAGTAAAGGTAAGACATTAACTCCCTAAAAATCAATGCAAGCACACCAACTCCCATGTTTTATGCTTGGCCCAGACTGATTAGCTTGTTGCAGTGTCCTTCTCTGTACAGCGTTTGCCAGATAAGCAGCTCCTCTTGCGTGTCTCTTAATCTCGCTCCACATTATTCAAACCAGCTCAGACAGATTGTTTGGCCCCTTCACTTTTCTTCCTTTCATTTATCTTAATTCTAATTTGTAGTTTCATTCTGGCCACACATGATATCCAGATTTTTGGACAATAACAGGGACCACCCAGAAGTGTTTCAGGCCGCCTCCTTCAACAGCTTTCTCTCTACGTCGCCCCACAGTAATGGCTCCGTTCGACCAAAGAGACACATTAAAATCTAATCGGGATGGCAATGACACACAGTAGTCGTGCGCAGCTTTATTTGCAAAGCAGATGGAAGGCCTTGGCCTGTCCGACATTAATTACAATCACATTCGGAGAGGAAGCCGTCCCTCCTCCAGGGCGGTCAGGACTTTGTGTACGGCTGGAGGAGATGGCAACCTAATCCCCCAGGTCACCGCAGAAATCTGAGGGAATTGTCAAAAGATGCACAGGACGTGATTAATCAAAGCAGGGGAGCCAGATGTGCAGCAGCACAGGAGTATAAACCAAAACCTGCACAGCGGAGGAAGAACAAAACCACAGACACACAAACACCACACTGCCACCATCACGCCAGACTCCCACTCAGCGCCCCCCCTCCTCCCCCTCCACCAGAAGCCCACAGAGGGGGTTCGATATCTGAGACCAAAAAACGACGGCTTCCATCTTTGTGGATATCTGGTTTTCATCACTACGTATTGCAACACCGACACCCAGAGGACCAATAAGCGGAGAAGTATTTTGGATGTCGGCCACTTCAGCCTAATTCTTCACATCACAGGAAGAATAGAGAGGCTATTTATGGTTTATACAGGTGAGGAGGAAAACATTTTTAGAACATCTGGTCCCATGAGGAGGCAGGGGGGGAAAGGAAAAAACAAAAAAAAAGAAAAACTCCAAAACATTCATTCTGGAGTGGTGAGATGTTCCCGCTGTGCTGATGGCCAAACCATGACAATACCTTCTGTTCCCAAGAAGAATGCTAATCAATCTGGTTTCAGGCCTCCTCTTCCACTGGCCTGTGACTCTGGCAGGACCTCTGTTTATCTTCCAGAGCTCTGTTTAGAGTCTCCCAGTAAACACTGGAGCTGCTAATGGAAGGAAGGGCTTTGAGCTTTCATGTTCCAAACTCGTTATGATTAAAGTGTCCCTGTTTATCATGCGGGGGGCTAATTAAAGACCAATCCGCTCGGAGGGGAAACACAAACAATGCGACGCAATTTACGCACAGAAAACCCGCAGCGTTTTAGCACTGGAGGTCAAGATCAGGAATAAGCCTTTATATACAAATACCAGTGGTGGCGGTTGATGGTTTTGCCGAGGATCCTGAGTTTATTCTCCCGCTTTAAAACATACATCACAGAGCAGATTGCACAGCGAGACTGACCACAGAATTTCAGTCCCATAAGTGAACGGAGGAGGGCAAATTTATCCGGAGCGAGGACGCAACAATAAATTACCCAGAAACAATACGAAGCTCATTTGTCCCACCGCATAGGAAATGAGTGAGTTACTTGCTCCCTTTGTGTTGTGTGCTCAGTGGGACGGTTCGTTACAAACTACGACGCTCTGAAGTAAATTCAGGTAAAGTGAGACATCAGGGGTGAAAACGCAGATGCAGCAAAGACCCTTGGCTTGGTTAAGTGAGCCAACACAATGGTTTGGTAGTGAAATAATAACCAAAATCAAATAGTTTTTGGTCACTTGTGATCATCGAATCGTGATATAACTGAGGAGACGTCACACATCACGATCCCAAATTTGCTTAGTGATGATAGGAATCCTTTTGTCTTTTCCAAAATAAGCTCATTTGTTGAAGCAAATTGGATGCTTCTGAAAATCAATTTTTATGCATACAAATAGAAATATATGTCTGCTACCCCACATAAAACACTGAATATACTAATTATTTTTACAGTCGGTGACAGTCTGGGGAGTCATGTCATCTTGACCACAAACTTCATGCTTCCCTCGTCTTCATGTAGGTGCTGATCCAACTTTGTTGGAGGACTTAACGCCTGACCACGCAGCCAAATGTGTCATTACTGTGTTTTAGGACTATGGCATCTCTGTCTCTGTTTGGCCAGCAAACTGGTCTGACATAAACCCCAACAGAAAATCTATAGTTGAAGACCACTTATGAAGCAATCTGGGCTTACCTAACACATCAGCAGACTGATCACATCCATGCCACGTTGCAATTATACAGCAATTCGAGTCCAAATATTGAGTATGCAGTGAAGTATATGATTTCAGATTTCTATACAGAATCTCCTTTAAAAAAAACTGATCTAGTTTGTGTTGTCTGATCAATTCAAATCTGATCTTTCCAGTCCTGTAACCAATAATTGACCAGATTAGAAAGAAACGCTTGATGTGTAATAATTCCCTATGAGCTCTTGAGCTGAATCTCCAAAGTAATTGAGGACACACTTAGACGCATGGAGTTGGAGCCTCTGCTTGTAAACGCTCTTTACCTGATGTTTCTATTCTTCACATAGATCTTAATGTAGCAGAACATCTTGAACATGGACAGTCACAAAGGGGAAGAAAGTGCAAGAAGCACCGAAACATCGTGGAAAATGAGTTGAGAAGAGAACAAGTGGGGAGAGGGGAGGGAGTCAGGCAGCTGGGGAAAATATTTATAAAGAAGGATATGAGAATACAATCCCACCACAGACTGGATGAGAATCAACAATCACCGTTCCACAGCTTTCTAAATGGACCGCAGCAATGAAACATCCCAAATGATCAAACATGTCCCTTGAAATTGTGTCGTAAATTGTGACGCCAGATTAATAGACACAAAGTGAGCCCAAACCTGAAGCGACATGACGTATGTGGCACGCGCGATGGGTTTTTACACTCAGCTGAGTCGAGAAACATCAATGTTCAACAACGCTCCCATCATAACCGAATCCATCCTGTACGTGCGTAATGGCGCGTCGGCTGCGCGCCGGGATGGAGAGCCAAACCCGGGAGCAGGTCTACAGGTGGACGAGGAAACAGAGGCGCTTCTTAAAGTGACAGGTGGCCACCTTTGGATTCGTGTTCGAGTGTTTCACTCTTTAACTACATTTTATGCCTCTCCGTTTTCTCTTCGATTCCCGAACAACAAAAAGGCGCATCCAAGCACAAACAAAAGATATTTTCACTGCACTCACCCAAGTTGACGAAGCTCATCACCATGTCCGCGTCGTTCAGAAAGGCTGTTTCTTGATACGTCGCCAGAGGAGGGCTCTGGGTGGCCGGGACGGACTGCTGTCTCTCCAGCGCGCCTTCCACTTGGCTTTTCTCCTCGCTCGATAAAGTTTTGTACAAGTCCAGCATGAAAAGCGGAGCGGAGTTGTACTTTCCGTGGGACAGATGCGGCCGCGGTCTGTGCGGCAGCCCCAGGACGGACAGGATTTCCTTCTGCATCTCCCGCTTTTCGTGCGTCCGCAGCCTCCGGTGGACGAAGCCCGGCTGCCCGTCGCCGATGCCCTCCAGTGAGTAGTGACTCCCCGCCGCCGCGTACGTGCAGTAGTAAGCGCTCCACCACACTCCGACCAAGGCAAGCAGGCGGCTGGTCATGGTGTTGTCCCCGCTGTGCTCTCCAGAGTCCCCCGATTGAGCCTGGCTTGGAGTTTCGGTCGCCTCTCCGAAACGCAAAATCGCGCGTAATGGTAGCCAAAGTCCACCCGAGAACGGCGCTATCAGTCGAAACGATTGATCAAAAGCACAGCAGAAGTCCCGCATCGAGCCATTTGAAATGCCCAATAAAGGAAAACGCGCATAATGGCACCGCTCCCGCTTTCATTTCTGCTCCCCGCAGCGCGCTTTGCTGCTCCAGGATAAAGTGCACCATGTGAGAGTTTATTCTGAGCGCTCCGCTACTCTTCGGCCGGTGGACACGCTTCCACAGACAGAACTGCGCCTCTGGTTGAAGCCATTCTACCGAAGCGGACACATTCACTCCCGGAGTTGATGACAAAAAAAAGAAAAGAAAGGGAAAGAAAGAGTCTCGGCGGCGCTGCAACTCCTACAGGTTGAGTGTCAGAGTGTGGAAAGAATCAGCAGGTTGCAGTCCATAATATCTCTGTGCGTGTGAATTCCTGCCGAGTGTGTGTGTGTGTCAGAAACCGCCCACTCCGCGTGCCCTCAGAGGTGGAGCTCTTCAAACCAAGTTTAACATCATATTTCCAGATTTTGTTCATCGCTCTGATCAAATAACTCCAATTGGTGACGTATGATCTTTAGTAATGAGATATATTTTCACTTTGTGTGTACATGTCACGCTGTTTGTTTGTGTTTTTCAAAGCAATGTGATGCAATTCAGATGTAGAAGTTCAAAAAGTCTCGCTGGGTTTTGGTTTAAAATGAGCGCGTCCTTCACGCGTTAAGACTCTGGGGTTGTTCTTGTGTTTGCTTGCAGATGCACGACTTCAGCCACTGAGCCGAGATGTCCAGTGGAGGCACGACCCCTGACGATGGACTTGGAAACAGCAAGCGGATCGTGCGCATCGCCTTCGCTCTGAACGGCCCCCTTAGTTTAATTCAGTTCAGACCGTCAGAGTAAATTCACAAATTCAGTAGGCAAACAGGTGTCCCTTTCCTGTGATACGGAGTTGTGCAATGGAAATTTGCCAGATGGACAGAAAAGAGTCATTTACATTCAGTGGAATCTGATTGGTTATCACAAAATGTAGTAAAATTCAGATGGTTATATAGTGATAAACTTCTAGAAACATGCATGATTCATCCTCCCTCATCATGTTTTTGATGAGGGAATGACATCACAGCATGATATAAGCTCAAAACACAGTGGATGTCTATCCTCGTTGGAATAATAATAAAAAATATATCTATCGTTTACTGGTATTTGTTTTATTTAGGGTTTTCTAATGATTTATTTGAACAGCTCATGTTCTATGACTGAGCCAGTCACTCCATGGCTGTGGTGGCATCATAATGACCGTTTCACTGACAGCGGTGCTGGATGGAATAATGAACGAGGAACGTCTTCTGACTTTTCAGCCCAAAGAAAAATCTACAGCCAGCCACAAAAAAATAAAAAAAATGAGGTCCTGGTTTGACAAATCATGGATTATAGTAATGCACTGCTCAGCAACATGTTGATGAATGGGCCCTTAGAGCTGGCTGGACTGAACGTTTCACTGACTCAGCCATTGTTAGAGCACCTGAATGTGGTGGGAAACAGAAACTATTTATGTTGAGTAGATAAAGCAAATCTCCCAAGACATCTGCTCAGAGGGAGCGCTCAATGAATCACTTAGTCAACATTTTTGATTTGAATTCAAAGTAGAGAAAAGTCAAGTAAACGAGAGGGTAAAGAAGAAAAAAAAAAAAAAAGAACTCCTTGAAACCGTAGTTTCCCCTTCCTGTCTTTCTCTCCCGTCACTCCTGCCCTGTTTTGTCTCCATGGTGCCTTCAGCCTGTGATGGTCCTGATGATAAGGCTCAAAGGTGTCCATATGTCCTGGTGTCTCTGCTACTGCTGCTCCCAGAGCCTATCTTATCTGCATGTGAAGAGTGAGAAGCAGCATCAAAGCCACACATTCCACCACCACCAGGCAGACACAAATACCCTCTGCTGGGTGGCTTTCAGGCTACAAACAATGAATCTGTGAAAAAAAAAAAAAAATTAAATATGAAAAAGTCTGAAAAGTTTGCATGAAACAAATGGCTTGAATAATAAAACCAGAACAGAAAGTTCCAGCTGCCAAAAAAATCTGCTGTCACTAAAGTAATTTATTTGTCTATTTTTAACTCCTCTTAGAAGCCATTTTTCCATTTGTTTGAAAAAAAAAAAAACAGTTCTGATTCATAGCATGGATTTTGTGTTGAAGCTGCACAAAAATCAATCCTTTCAGTGGAAATTATTTTAGGTTTTCTTTTTCTCTCTCCCTCTTTTTTTTTTTTTAGAAGAAGCCTTTTTGGCTGCAGGACTGTACAGGAAAACAAAGTGGTGATTATTTTCTGGATAAAACGATGGAAGGAAATGGGTCATTTCTACCGCCTCGCACCGTGTGAGTCAGTGCGAGGTAACAAAAAGCAACAGATCCATGTTAAAAGCTTCGCGCGCCATTAATCTTTGTCGTGTCATATTAAACAAACATTACCGAGATCGGAAAAACAAAACAAACAGAAAAAGAAAAAATAAATAAATAAACGCTTCGCAGCTGATCCCGGACCCCACTGCTCTCAAACGCCATCATGGCGATCCAGATAAACGAGCAGACCAGACTGACAGGAACTTAAACAGCACTTAAGTTCAGCTATATTTATTTGACGCTGATCAGTTGGGCATGTTTGCAAGTGTGTGTTTATGGCCTGAGGTGGAGCAGGTGATGTGTGTGTGTGCGTGTGTGTGTGTGTGTGTGTGTGCGTGTGTGTGTGTGTGTGTGTGTGTATGGGTGGGTGGATGGGTGTGTGTGTGTGGGTGTGTGTGTGTGTGTTGGGTTGAACTGGAAGCAGAAGGAGGAGGAAACATTAAACAGGAGTTCTGTGTCCTGTCATCACAGCGTCTAGACAGGACACCTCCTAAACCTAATGAATTTTTTTTGTGTGTGCGCGCGCGTGTGTGCACAACCGTGCATCCACAAAGACGTTCACCGCTATACACTTTGGGGTTTAGGCCTTCTTGTGTAACCTTTGTTTATTAAAAACAAAAGGAGTTCAAACTTTCAAACAGCCATAAGCGTCATACGTACGACATATTTGCACACATTTCTCTCTGAAGCTAAAGCCTCCACTTCGTAGCCACAGGAATTTTTACACCTGGCACAGATCTGACAAGAGGTCTGCGGATTTATTCACACAAGCTTGCACAGATATGCAAGCAGACGGTTATCAAGTGGTTTTCGCATCAGTTCAAGGAATCGGTGACAAGATGGTGCAGGTTTGATGCTTTTGAAGCCACTGAAATCCTTTGTGTTGGGTTTGTTTTGTGGTAATCTGCTAAAGCCCTGGTTTGCTAAGCACACAAATATTTCTGAGAAATGATTTGATACATTTTAAATAGATGGGGGGGAAAAGCTCAATTACAGGGCAATTTTTTTATTATTTTAATGGAGAAAATAAGGTAATTAATAAAGATTTCATTTCCCATACGAAGCATTCTGCGCTGATACAAAACTTTCTCATTGTGTTCTATATTCTTGATTTTTGCATGTTGTAAAGCAGTAGTTCAACTGATTGCAACACAAGTTTGTGGCAACAATAGACTGAGATCACCTGAAGTCACAGTTCATAAATCCTCCTACATGTGAAATGCTAGGGGAATTTCCCTCCTCGTCCAACTCCTGAAGAAAACTGGATAGCCCCAGGAATCGCTTCAGACTGGATGACTTGAACTCCGTGATCAAATTCATACTGCATGGCCTGGGCAGAGCAAAGGACAAAAAATTAAACCAATAAAAATGACTCAGAACAGGGCTTACCACCTTTAAGCTGGAGAAACATCCTGGAGAAAGCTACTTATACCAACTCACCTACATAAACAACCAATACATTAAATCAAAGTCATCATGGCGTATTTAATGCGTCCAAAATTGCAATCGAAAAGGATGAATTGGATGCAATATTTTTGTAGAATTTTATATTTCAGGTACCACACTCAAATTGAGACTCTCGCTGCCTCAAACCCGACACCTGATGTATTTTTTTCATTATATGTCTTTCCAAACAATTAGGAGACCCAGTCAGGCTAAATATTCTGTTCTTGGTCGTAGTGCCACCACGTTACAAAATACCATAACAACTACAAAATTCTGTGCGTTTCATTGGAACTTTGTGCAACATTTTATGTAATGCATGGTTTTCAAATTTCATTGCAAATAATGTGTGTAATCGGGCCACTTTGCTCTCGTACCCTTTGCTGAATTTCTGATGCTAAGACGCCATCAGGTGTTAAAACCTTTGAACAACTTTCTTCTGTGCATTTCTTTGTCCGGTGAACGTAGAGGACCAGAAGTCATTGAAGCAGAATTGGGTGTGAACTGAGAAACCGGTCCGTCACGTAAACACTAGTGCCACTGTGAACTGTGTAAAATGAAGAATACCTGTGTGAAGGACGGGGCGTCGTAGCAGCTGTACACGGCTGAGGAGCGGTCCGTCCGCAGACACTGCTGAGGGAAGGAGCTGATCTGCTCTGCTAGCTGCACGGCTGTCTGCAACGCTGTGATTGCAACGTAAAGCCAGTCAGTTTACCAGTGGCAGTTCTTGCATGAGTGACCGTCCGATCGATCAAAAGGCAGGAAAATGATTTAAATTCTGGAGGAGGACAAAATTTAAAGCATTCCTGAACAGAGCATGTAGAATCATCTATTTAAGTGGACAAACAAAAAAGCAGTAGTCAACTTGCTAAAGGTGTAACTGTCAGAGAGGTTTGATTTTTTTTTTTAACATTACGTTTGTCCAAACAGCCCTTTCTGATGCCGCCCTGAGAAACTACCCATTTCAAAAACTACCATGGCAGCTTAGACACACAAACACAACGTATGTGTGCACGGAATAGCAAATGTGGCTGAATGTGAAGGAAAATGCATGCAGAGTGCTCATGAAGAGCTACAAAGGAAAAGACTCCTCATAATGCGGCTGAGGTTTCCTAGCTGTACGTCACTACACCTCCTGACCCACATCAAAGCCCTGGACCTAATCCAGATTCCTCCTATGGAAAACACTAACCCTGCTGATGGCACACTTTGATGCTGCCTCTGTATGTTTAGAAGCTGCTACTTCTTCCTTTCCCTCTGATGTTAAATGTGTGCTAAGTGATTATCCTTCACAGGGCCAATTAGGCTGCGGCTAAACTGTGGGTAGAAGAACTTCCTGAAAGAATTTAGCTAATCATCCTGCAACATCCAAGCGGGTAGATGAGGGAATGAGAGACTGAGTCGGACCGAGCACACAGAACCATAATCTGCATTGGATCTTTCAGGCACTAATGCAACACATCAATCCTCGGACTCCAGCTCATTCCCTAATAGAGCTTTAAGAATATTTTTCAATTTGCTCAAATAAATGCCCAGCTTTCAACAAGAAACTTCTTCAAAATGTTTCCTCTTCAAGTTCTGAAAAAAAAAAAAAAAAAAAACTACAAGCAAGTATGGCGATATGTTCAAACTACTTTAAGTACCTTGTCCATCAGGAACAACTCGATTGGCCAGTCCGTAGGACAGAGCCTCTTGAGCGCCGATTGGCCGCCCGGTCACAATCAGGTCAAGCGCTCTTGATAAACCGATGAGGCGAGGAAGCCGCACTGTCCCTCCGTCAATCAGGGGAACTCCTAGAAAAACATTAAGGTTTAAGAAAACACAAAAATAAATGAAGTAAAGAGTTCCCAAAATACTTTGAAATCCCATTTGTACTATTTGAGATCTACAGTTGAGCCGAGAATTATTCAGATAATTCTCGGCTCAACTCTTTTAAAGTTAGAGGCATGCTCCATATGAGTGTAAATAAAAATAAGATTTTAGAGTCCCAGCTTTAATCTGACAGGGAATCTGTGGAGGGAGCTAAATATCAAGATAACAGATCTTCTATACTCAAAGACACGTTGTGGAAACACCAGAGGAAACATGTAAAAGGTCCTCAGGAATTATAAGATGGGCCCATTTGCTGCCATCCCAATAAAGACTTTTCAATTGATCATTAAGAAGGATGTAATTTAATGATATGCCTTTTTTTTTTTTATAAAACGTAAATTAAACATTTCTTAAAATCCATCACTCCTTTAGCACAGTTTGTAATCTCATTCCCTGAAAAATTATGGAACATTTTTGTTGAAGGCAAATTTTTCAAAACTGCTGATCAAATCCACTTCAAGTTAAATGAAGGCTTGTTTTGCATTAGAAAGTTTGTACATGCGTGAAAGTACAAGTTCCTGAAAAAATCCATTCTGAAAATACTCAAAATCTTAACCAAAACATAAGGTAAGCTATTCCCTACAAGGTGAGCCGACATGTGAGTGTAATAAGAGCATCTAATTCTCCAGGCAGAAGCACAGGTTGCTTATGTCAGTGGGAACAAAGCTCCGAAATGGCTACGCTCCTATACTTTCTTTACATCTGGTCATATGAGCTCAAACTCCTCTCTGGTATTCTCACAGGAAACGTTTTTAATTATATATTATTTCCCTGTCCCACAGAGACTTGGGGTTCGGAGGAAAGAGCGAGTGCACTGCGAGGAACAGTCAGCTTCTGGCATTTATCCTAATTTGTAAGGAGCACCAGCTGGAACTGGCACACTTTCTCCCGATCGGTTCCACACCACAATCCCAACTCCCTAATTCCTCCAAGTCACTGATTCCATCTGACCACCCCTTATTGGGAGCACATGTGTCAAACATGTTGTTATAACCCCACATCATCATGCTTCCTTTCAGATTGCATTTTCCCTTTTCTTCTTCTCTATATGCGAAACGGTAACAAGTGATCAGATTGTGCTTATGCTTTTCTTTGTTTGTTGCCATACATGTGGCAGGCTGACAAAAGATTGTGATCAGACTCAGGCTGCACTACACTGTTGGTAACGTGAGGCTTCATCCAGTTTTACAGCTGATTGTAATCAGAGAAGTGTTTACAGACTTTGAAGATAAACACCTCGAGCAGGTGGAACATAGCACTAATATTACCTCAATGCTTTTGTTTTTAGTTAAATATACAAATTACACAGATCCCTGGTAACGAAAAAAAAAAAGAAAGAAAAAAAAAGGCATGTGTAATGCATTTGGATTTGGTCCAGGACACTTCTGTTACCTCCTTACTGCGCTCCTCTCTTCTTCTTGTTATTAATGAACCAATGGTGATCCGGTGGTCTCACATCACAAATCATCTAAATCTTGTCAGATTTCCATTTCATTGTCCAACAATACAACATTTTACAGTTCTCAAACATTGGAGTTTTTGATACTTGCACTGCAGACATATTAAGTCTCTCCAGTCATCTCACCCTTGTTGATGAATTTCTTTGCTTTCAACCGTCAGGCAAGAATCTCAGTCTCTTTTTATCAAAACTTACCAGACTGTTTATCAGCTCCTTGCTAAAACCAGGTTGAAATCTGTTTCATTGTTAGAGCTTCCCAAATTTGTCATAGATTCCACAAGTGTTCAAAATGTTAGATTGTCTGTACCTGAAGCAGTGTTAGAGCTGGCCGTGTACAGAGGTTATAGTCTTTGACGTGATCGTCTTGAGTTCAATTCCTGATCTTGCAAACCTTGCTGCATGTCTTCCCACCTTTCTTTTGCCAATTTTGTATCTAGAAACTGTCAAAGGCCTCTTGTGCCAATCAATTGTGTTTTTAAATACAACATTGCACATCCTGCAAATACCTCAGATTTGTCCGCATCCATGATGGCCGTCTGCCATACCATCACCTTCCAAGTAGTAGATTAAGATCTGGTGACTTTGGAGGTCTTTAGGCAACAGTCAGCTTTTTGTCATGTTTAAGAAACCAGTTGTGAATTTATCCTGCTGGAAGTAGCCATCAAGAAACACTGGTCATAAAGGAACAAACAACTACACTCAAATGGTACTAAAAGGCCTAAACTGTGTCAATAAAAAGACATTACGTCACCTGTTTTTAAAGCAGAAATCTCTGCCAACATTTTTTTATTCTAACCAGAGGGTATTATAGCTAGCCTCAGCTATCTATTAAGAAATTAACCCAGAAGGGCGGAAAATTAAGCAACAAAGAAATACAAATGTTGAGAAACCAGCGTGACAACACAGGGAGGTGGAGCGAGCCAGAGGAGGACAAAGCCTGACTTAAAGACCAAGAGATAAAGAGGCAGGTTGACCTCAGTCTGTCTGGATTTGGTGCTGCTGTTGGCACCACTGCTATCAGCAACCGGAAGGATCTCCCTTCTTATCCCCCGCGGCCGTCTCCAGCACCTCCTCGTCCACGGTCCCTCTGATAGTGCGGTCTCTCGGATGCCGTTTGGCAGACCTCTGCTTTGTCACACATAATGAGACGTTGGTGAATTGCTCCTTGAAGCAGCTTTCGACTAAAAAAAAAACTTTGCGTGTGATTTGGGGTGGAGACTTTTTGTTTTAATAGAAGGCATTGTGCATTAGAGAGCCGAATGGAAGACAAGTCAGTATTGGACAAACCATTTGAAAGAAGTCTGCAGCCATCTTGACTGAAATGCAGAAAAGTCTACTGTCGAAACAGAGGCTTGTTATTGCCAGGTTGGACATGAGTCAGCACAGCCTATTGTTATATAACCACATGTAAGAGGCAGCTCATTTCCTGCAGCACGGGATCATCACTGCTTATCTGACGGGAATGAACGAGAAGTCTGGAAGAGAGAAGAATCATTGTGTTTTATCTGCTTTCTGCACACTTTGATATGCGTTAGCCCTGAGGAAGCAGCACAATATGAGTCATTAATATCTAACTGGTAATATCTCCCTGAAAACACTGAAATTCACCACAAAGGTTATCTGGAAATTGGCTGGGACCAAACATCCGCCAGTCCACAGATACTTATAAAGCAAGAATGCTGTGAAACATGACACACTCAGGGACTCGAGCTGGCTCCTGGTCCTGCTGGCACCCTGACCACATCAAAGCTAAACCTACCACAATGGCCTCCCATGAGGGTAATGCGATTAAGTTTGATGTGGATTAACAGTTTCCGGATAACTCCAGACTAAATGGACAGAGGCAAAAGAGCGGACTTTCAGGCGGAAGTTTGAAGCTTTGAAATGCTTGCTGGGAATCAATTAAAATATTTTAGTTGGGTTGGGTCGGAGATGGGTGCCACACTTTTAATTTGATTTCACGACTTTTGACCGACGGGGATGAAAGTGAGGCCGCCAAATGTCCCATACTCCATGTACATGTTACAGCCAAAAACTTCAATGGGAATTTTTAATTTTTTTTTTATAATAGTAAGAAATTGCCACACGTCTTTGGAAAATAGTACGTAGTTTTCAAATGTTTTTACATCACCCAAAGAAGTGTGGCAAGCATTTATATTAAGAGCCCCAGAATAATTACTTTTGTTGCAATTACAGCTAGAGATCTTTTGAGGTATGACTACCACCGTTACACACCTAGAGACTAAATCATTTCCCAGTTCCTCTTAGCAAAGCAGCGCAAGCTCAATCAGATTGGATAGAAAGCATCTCATGGTAGACATTTTCAAGCGTAACCACAGATTCTCACATCTGAACTCTGAGTCGGCTCTTCTATCTTCTATTGCATCTCTGGCTGTATTTTAAGGGTTGATTTCTTGCTGAAAGGTAAGCCTCCACCAAACCTCCAGCCTTTTACAGCCTCCCACACGCTTTTAAAACAAAGATTGCCCTGTATTTTTCTCCACTCTAATTCCAATCAACTCTACCCAGCTTATTTCTCCCTAATGGACATAAGTACCCCACAGCATGATGAGAAGAACAGCATGTTTCACCGTGGGAAAAGAAAAAAAGAATTGTTGCTTGCATAGTTCAGGCAAACTACAAACATGATCTCTTCCTTTCTTTTACAAAATGACTTTCTTCTTTCCACTCGTCCACAGAATCATTTATGGAGGGCAAGAGTTTCTCTCACCTGATGTGTGGATGTCTGTGGTCACTCCTGGCCTACTATAGGCCCCGTGGATTCGCTTGACCTGATCCATGCTGTCAACTTTGATGCACAGATGTGTATTATTAAGTTAGCAATGATGGCATACACTTTGTTTTTAACAGACTGAACAGTGCTCAATAAGACTTTCAAAGTTTGGAGCATTGTTTTGTAACAGCACCCTGTTTTTGACTTCACCCAAACTTAGCAATCTGCTGTGTTCATTGGTCTTCATGATGATGTTTGTTGGCTAAAGTTCTATCAAGACACTGAAGATTTTTCTTCCACAAAATAATTACGCAGTACTTGGTGTTGGTTTGGCATAAAATCCCTGCAAAATACATTGAGTTTTGTAGTTTGAACCTGATGAAATTAAGAAAGAAAAAAAAAGTTCGCGTTTTGTGAAAACTCTTAAGACGGTAATATAAAAACTAATTTACAGGAAGGCATTGCAATTGCAGGAGCCATTTATCCTTTCCTGTGTTCATCGCCACCAGGGGGCGTATTTCATTTTGAGTTCTGAGTGTCTGATGGGGAATGGGGGTATTTAAGGTCAACCATGATTTTGTTCAGGTCTTAATGGGAAGAGGCAACAGTGTTCTACTGTGCTTGTTTGGATTGATGTCAAATTTATGTGGTTCTAAATGGAAATAGTAAGATGATGGACATCGTTCTGACAATAAATCACCTTATTATAAGTCAAACTGCAGATTGGCATTATGACTCTTAATAGAGCGCACGTACAGCCAACTCCTTTCAGGAAAAGCAAGCACAAGCCTAAAATATAGGATTTTAGCCGCTACAGCAATTATCACACAATATCTGCACTACAGGCTTCATCAAATTTATTTTTAAGAGTCTTCTTTTGCCTTCAGACAAATGTAAATTCAGTTAGTGTAATCTCAATGTTTTCGAATAAAAGAAACAAAAAAAAAAAAAAACAAGCGTAATGCTCACATGTGTTTACTCAGTTGTAATCCTGTCTGTTTTCCCAACACAGCGGTGTGACAGCTCTGTTCATTCATTCCTCATGAAGGGAAAATCCTGCAGATTAAACAGAGCTGGTTTGAAGTCGGATGATGTAATCAGTGCACTATGTCGGTCAGGTTCAGACTCTCTGAGCAGGTGTTTGGATTGGCTGATTTCAAGTTAGCTCTTGGATTGCGGTTTGACTTTGGTTCAAAACCCTGGCTTCTTTTCTTCCTCTCCATCAGTCTTGCACAGCTACGGAGACGGGACTGAGCGCTGACAAGGGGAAACGGAGAAGAAGCAGGGACTTGAAGGATGCAGAAGATTAGGTGGTGTGTATTTTGGAAGGGTTTCATTTTCAGTCACAACAAAAGAATCAAAGGGGTGACAATGGATCAACCTTGAACAACCCCCAGGATTTAGGTTCTTGAATGAAATATTAGTACTTTTAAGTTACATTTTCATATGCCAGCTTTTTTTTTCCCTGCTTTACTTGTTCCTCTGGTTTAAGGAGTCAAAATAACATTGGAGATTTAAGTAAGCACTGTGGGTTTTCATTCAGGTCTCTGAGAACTCAGAGAGCTGTAGACTCTAATACCAGATTCCTGTGATGCAACCTTCTCCTCCTTCTCATTTCCTCCCTGGCATAGCCGAGGGGCCCCAGACAGGAAGCCGCAGGTTTCGGCAGCCAATACTGTGCCAGAAAACTGTCAAATCTTTGTGGTAGCCATTGGCCCACATCAGAGGAGCACAGCGCGTCTCCGAAGGGTTTTCAACTCCAAAGCCACCAGGGATTCCCTCAGGCGACCGCCATCTGTGCCCTACCCAAAATCGGTTACAGAATCTGTCCATTAAAAGGAAATAATGGCTAAGAGACACTGGATCTTTAAATAAACTGAAGAACAGCAATGCCTTTGTTGGTAAAGGGATTTTTTTTAAAGTTGTTTAAATTGGCTTAAAACAATTTTTTTTTTTACTTCTAAAGCCTCCGTTTGTGTTGTTCTGCTTCATTAAATTCTTCTAATGTCCCTTTATCAATATTTTCATCTAAAGAAAACCAACGTCCGAGTTGAAAAGTTAAAACGTTAGCTGTGGAAGGTTAGGCTTTGCAGAAAATGTTCATAAATATGCACGTTTCCTTAGCGAAAAGTAATAACCGTTCTTAACTGTAGCATCAAATATAAAAAAAAAAAAAAAAACAGCAGTTTTAACTTAGCTGGAGGAAACAACTCAAACGTGTTGACAAATAAGCCTTGAAAATGTGAGGCAATGACACGCCAGAAAATTAATCACTGGGGGAGAAATGTGCAACTTAATATGTAAAAACCGCAGCAACATTTCTCCCTGCCTGACATAGTTTTGAGCTGATGGAAGACGCTGGATTTACTGAGCGTTTGCAGATAGAGAGGAATAAACCTGCACTAATACACTCTGAAATTTCCAACATTTCTCTCCAACCATTGTTCAGGTAAGTAGCTGGTATGGTACTACACATGTGTAAAATTATTGAAATGAATAGCAATTTTAAGAGTACACTCTGTTCATCTTCCAAAAAATAACACCTGAATAAGGTGCTGTTGAATAACCTGACTTTGAATGCGTTTAATTATATGTATCAGTAGAGAAACACCAACCTGGCAACATTTCAATTAAGCCTTAATGACTGTTATTCTGATAAAATTCCAGACTTCCTATGACTGAAGTGCAAAATAATATTGACAAAAACACTTCAGAACTGAAGAAAAACATTAACAAATGTGAAGTATAAAAAAGGGATAGGATGCCAAACACATACAATATCACTGAGATGAGGCATGAAAATTGGAGTCAATCAGATCAATTTATTAGAGACTTTACTTTACCTATATGAAATTAAATATTTATAAATATGTATTTGATTGAATTGAGACTACAGCGAGATAACAATCGGATGTTATATCTAATAATAGCTTCATTTCAGCAAACAAGACTGCAGGTATGCTGTGTGGTAGATCTAAGCATAAATTGGCAATTATTTCCAATTACTTTTTATTGTGAATCTTTAATAAAAGTTAGAAAAATAAACAAATGCTCTCTGTAAATCTGTTTGACTGCAGGAGGCGATCAGATTTTTTTTCAAGCCAAGAAACGGAGGAGAGAAATCCACTTTAGTGTATTTTTTGTTCATATTCGTTTCTGTATGTTCCACTGAATTAAATGACAAATATTTTATAAGTATTAAAATTGAGAAGCCCAACGATGTCTCTTAAACTGGAAAGTAACACACTTAACACGAACCAGTCGGAGCTCTGCCAGGATGCTCCCCTGTTAAATTACAGGCTTCAAATGAGAACGTTTTCATGTTTATACTCCAAGTCTAGTACCGTCTGTAATTTACAGTAAAAATATAACACCCTGGTTATATTTTGAGCCCTTTAGAAGCATAGCTACAATCTATAGAAGAGTTGCTGAAGGGAAGTAAAGCCGCTCTTTACACGCTGAATTGCAGGACGGGGTTTTATGAGAGGGAATCCAGATCAGTTCTGTGTGTGTTTACAACAGAAAACTTGATGTTTCAGAAGTATAGTTGAGTCAGGCAGCAAGCCTGACCAGTAAAAATGCCAAAAAGGGAAAATGTTTATAAGGAAATTGTGACATAAATAACCCATAAACCCTGCTTGGCTAAGCTGTGGAAACCTGGCAGTTGGTCGTTTCCTCCTCTACTTATCAAGGCTGGCCAGCAGACTGTGGCCATGAAGCCAAAAGGTCACGGTCACCATCGTTATCGCTTCGAGGCCCTGTCCTTGTGCACAAACACGAGGAGGCTGTGGTGATAACAGAGCACATAGTAACGACGCTGAAAAATAGAAACAAAGTCAACTTCCTGGTACTAGGAGACAGATGATGAATGCTGAGATGCAACAAAAAACAGCCGGTTGCTTTTGGGGTTAGGTATCATAAGCCTAAACCTGAGGTAGGCTTATTACTCTGAGGGAAACATTCAAAAATACATTTTAACATTTCTAGAATCCAACTGAAAGATGGTAACTTCTACTAACAGTAGAAAAAAATAAATCTGAACATCAGTGTTGTTTTTTTAAGGACCACAAAGTTTAGTTTAGGAGACTTTCTCTAGATTGGCAAAGTTTATCAACACACAACTAAGAAATGCCTGTTTATATATATTTTCCCTAAAATAACACTAATACCTACTATAAAGAAAAGGTTAATACAAGATTCCTGAGCTGCTTGAAAAGCTTACAGATTATTTTGTCTTTTGGAGCAATATTTAGTGACACCAAGGAAAATGTTTTTATCTTAGGTAGGATATAACTTTTCTGACTAAGAAGAGTCGTATTAATGGGGGTTTTGTCCTTTAAACTATTGCTGCATGGTCAAAAGCACACAGTAATGCTGATTAACTGAGATTCTGAAAGCTAAAGCTGTCTTGGAAGAAAAGGGGCCGAGGAAGTCACTCTTTGTCCATTTTCTGACAATTGTAGAGCCATTACATCAAAGTACATCCTACTGGTGAGAAATGAGCCAAAGAACTAGGTTGATCTTGCCAGAACAAAAACGCTTCACAATGTGCAACAATGAGAGTTACTGTGTAGCAGCAGCAGCATTTCAGACCAACCCAAGCAGCATCAAAGAAAAATTAATCTGGAACTTCTTGGCCATTTGCAGATATCCATTTCCAGAGGAAAACCACCCTGTGATGACTTTGGCCTTATCCTTCTGCTTAATAAAAACGCATTGTAGCTGGGGAACAATGTTGTTTTCGAAACAGGAAACTCTGGAAGTTTGTTCACTCTTAAATATACAGGACAGATTCCTATGAACTAAGATTGATGACTGAACTGGCTGCTGTAAAACAGCACAGGCCAACTCTGACCAGGCCAAACCTGAAGGACAATTTACTTCATATCTGGTTAAGCGCAGAGTTTACCCTGATGTAAACATTCAAAATCTTTGACAAATATTTAAGAAAGAAACAATCCAGTTGAAATTAGTGTAGGATCAACCACTTGGGAGTCAGATGACTGGTGATCATGTATTTCTGGATAAAAATATAGATGAAATGTGGTAATGAGCATGATGGCTCCTTTAGACCTACTGATGACTATTCTTCACTTCTCTGTTAAAGGCAGCTAACATGTTTTACTTTCAAAAGGTTACACAACCATGTCCGGTCCAAAATACATTCCCAAATACATATGGACTTCTGTCTCACACAAAACTCAATATAAAAGAGTAAAGTATCTATAAAACCTCTTGGTTGCATTTGCTTCAAATGGAGTTTTAAGGGTAACACTGACTGAACTATTGGTGATTTTGAAGTCTTTCCTTGCAGCATAAATGTGTTTGAATAAAACTCTTACACATCCTAAAGAAGGATGTGTAATTTTTTTCATGTCTCTGCCTTGAAAATGTCCTGTAGAGTCACAACAAATTCCAACTGGACTGAAAAACCTTGAGCTTGACAGATAAATCATGCTTGGAGTTTTCTCAAATACTGTGGATGTTATCCTTACTACCAGGCCAGAGCAGTATATGGGAAAACTACTTCTGCCAAAACCAAGCTGCAATAAAAGCAGCCCGCATAAGTAAGTGAGCAGACCTGATGTTATTGCAGATGTTGTAAAAGCTCAAAATTAATGACCAAATCTCAATTAGGCCTGTAGGGCAGAAAGCAACGTACCAAATCTGCGGCAGAAGACCCCCATGATGGCGCTCTCCTCCACCACCCTCAGGTCAGCCAGCAGGGCCAGCTCCAACCCTCCGGCCACAGCGAAGCCGCTCACGGCCGCTATCAGCGGCTTCGACAGCTGCAGACGGGATGGACCCTGGAGGAAATGGCTGGATCAGTCAGCCCGTACATACGCAGAACATTGTTACACTGCATGGCTATAGAAACGACTAAAGTCATCATGCAAGATGTAAACAGAGTAAACAAGGTGTGTGTATTCACACCACTTCACAGCGATTTATGCTTTTAACGCTACTCGGCAAAATGTTCTGGGCTTCATTTTCTAATTCATTTCTCAGACTGTCAAACAAATGAGGAACAAGAGGATTTGAGTTTTGACCACAGCTGAACAAATGAAGCCGTATGTTTTTCCTGCATGAGGTACAATGGTCTCATGTTCTGCATAGGAGGTCCACTCACTCCCAACCACCTACAGCAACATGCAGACCAAGCATTTTTATGGAGACTGTATTTCTCCATAAAAATGTTACTGTATAATATTTAGATACTGTTAATGCATACCAACTGTTTGCAAGAGAGCATGAAGCTACAGTGAATTGCTTAGGTTTCCGTTGCCCCCTTTTTCTCTTTTGCAAATTAGAACTACAAACCTTTTATGTGACATTGAAACAACGGAGAAAATAAATATAAAGTGGAAGAAAAACCATTTTTGGTTGTCTTTTTTTTTTTAATAAAAATGTGAAATTGATGGCTCAGATTTGTTTTCAGCCCTTGTATATGTGTGGCTGAAACATGGTGGTGGCAGAATTGTGCTGTGGAGAAGATGGCGTTAAATGCTTGGCAATCCAAACAGAAAGCCTCTCCAAGGCTTTGCTACTTTTGGTCAGACAATAACGCCAAACTCACAGCCGATTAAGAAAAAGACAGGGAATAGAGTGTAGAAGAAGAAAAAGAACAACAAAACACGTTTCCTAAGTAGTGAGTGGCATTAATTTTCCATGAGTGAATAATTTAGCTCTTAGAAACAAATGGAACCGAAACAGTGATATCATAACGAGAAATCAATTAGTTTTTTTCTTTTCTGTTTTTTTCTTGTCGCTCTCTTCTGAGTAAAGACCATCACATTATTGCCCCCACCTACACTCATGATCATAGACACAGAGAGCTATGTCCGTCCCATTGAGAATTGGTGGCAAGACTATATAATAATTAGTGGGCCGAATATGAATGTTCATCACACCTTTAAGATTTTACTTGTAAACATTTGAAAATCATGCATCTAGATTTTTTTTTAATCATTAATTTCAACTCAACATCTTAATTATTCTCTACATTGTGCTCTCAATAACATAACTGTAAATTCTATGGAAGTTTGTGTCTATAATATCAAAAAACAAAGGTACAAATGTTGGCAGGTATTGTAACACACACACCAGTAGCAGCCGAGTACAAGAGGCATCTCTCTTCTACTTCATTACTTAAAACAAAAATGTTCCTAACTACCTGTTCTCTCAGACATTTTAAAATAAAAACAATTACTAGCAGCCTGAACCTCTGGTTTTAGATTTTACGATTTACATGATTACAGATTTACATGACATTGAAATGTAGATGTAAACCTCACAAGCACACGCATGCAATCACAGACCGAGCTCTGCTCACCATTGGGCCAGGACCCTTTGTGACATCTTGCTCCAATTTAAGGGGGGCTTTTTGATTGGCCAGCATTTTCAGATCATAACCAGCGCAGAAATTCCCTCCTGGAAGAGACCGCAAAATTACAAAGTATGGCAGAGAGGAAGGGAAAATGATGAGGAAGGGAAAAAAAAAAGAAAGAGAGAGAAAAAAAGGCTGCAATTTGGCTTGCAGCTTGCTTTCTTTTAGCTCGCTGGCACACAAATCCTCCTCCTTCCCTAAAGGATGTAAATTCAATGCATAGGCGCAGACCGTGCATGCGCTCACATGCATCATACTCTCATTAATGGGCAAGTAATGCAGTGCAGCCACAGATCTCTTCCACTGGATTCATGTGGTAATTACAACATTGCCCAAGAGGCAAACAAACACTATGTCACTGTCTAAGGCAGGGACTCATAAAATCCTCCTCTCTCTGTAATGTGACAGTAATGAGAATGATCTAATGAACACATGTGCCAGCAACACCCATCAACTGGGAGCTCTGATTACAGCTGTGGGTCAGCGTTGGGTTGTTAGAAAAAAAACTGTGTCATCCTGTTTATGGGAGCAGCACTGGAAATGAGCATCCTACACCAGTTTAAAGAAACTTGAGGAGCAAGAGCTGCGTGTTTTTATTCGCAAGACATCAGCACAGAAAATGTGACACAATCGTGAAGGAGATGATGCATTATGAGGGCCGACGAATGTCTTTTCAGCGTGTAAAATCGTAATTTTACCCACATGATGAGAACAAATGAGACGTCTGCCATTAAAGTCTAATTTGCAGTGCCATTCACACCTCTTTGAACCATTATTTATATTTTGTTATGTCACAACAGAAGAGATATTGAATGGGGAGATCACACAATAGTCAGACACAAAGCAGTGCATAAATGTGGCTCCCATTTGTGTCTAACCCTCCTCAGTCAACAGGTTATGATTGGAATTTCTCAAAGGAAGGGAAGTCTGTCAACTTTCTTTGACAAAAATTTCAAGTTCAGCCACATTAGACTGATAGTGACTGGACGTAGTTTTTCCAAGCCCGCTGATTCTCAGTTGCATTTACTTCTAGACTTTGACTGGGTCATTTTGATAAATTAATATAACTTGATCTGAACCAAGACATGCAAGCTCTGAGTTAATGCTTAGGGTCTTTGTACAACTAGAAGGTTTTAAAAGCTTGTCGACTCCTGTTCTGTGATATAAAATCCTGATAAAATACATTAATACATGTTCAATTGTGAGTGAATATGAAAAAGTTCCACCACGATGAAAACTTTGAATACAGAGTGGTAGTTTGTACCACAGCTGGAGCAGGTGGTGAGGGGTTTTCCCTACATTAATCTTGAATCCTACAGCACAACGCTGCTCTAGTACAAAACGATTTAACTCCTGGCCAGAGAGCTGAATCCCTATCTCGTTATCTTGACCCCCAACTTCCCCAGCAATCAGGTTGAAGTCAAACTGGACAAAGACATAGAGCCCCACATTAGCATATGTTTCTTTAGATAACAGCATCTGCTACTTATCAAAACAATGGGGGCTCCTATATTGAGTTGCCAAAGTATTTGACACAGCAACTAAAATAAAACGATTTGATTGAACAAGACAATAGAGTTCTTTAAGGTTTAATTCAGTTTGACTCATCAGGACAGGAAAACAGTAGCACAATGTCCATTTAGCTGCTTCGACATCAAATTCTTGATATTGCATTTGTGGCTCAGAGCCAGTATGTTAACGCAGAAACTAATTATCTTTATTGTTGAGGCTTAATATTAGGTTTAAAATAAGAATATGTGATCTTTGAAGCCATTTCCTTTGCCCTCATTGGTATTCTCTATAGTTTCTATAAATGATCCAAGTACAACAAAATGATATCTTAAGCGATTTGCCACTTTCTACATTTATTTAATATGACAGCAGTGCTCCATTACCCAATTAGCATTTGCTACGTCCCTTTAGTCATGTTAAATAACGCATCTGAAACAACATCCATAGCTTACCTGGCTAAAAAGCTGCTCCAAGAAATCTGAACGTGAAATCATCAGAACAAATGTTCCAGCAAATCCAACCCCTGCTGAAAGCAATTACTCTCAACATCATAAGTGAAAAAAAAGAGCGAGGTGAGAGAGTGACTGTGTCAGTGTTAATTTGACCTAAATGGATTCCGTATGTTTGCAGAAACATTACATCCACACTGGAACCTCCCTGCCTGTCATTTCATGGCACAGAGGTGCTGCTAATCACCGCCCAGGGGTCGGCTGGCTTCTCCTGATGGAGCAGCAGCGGACGATAGCCGCTGACAGAAACGTGGGGTGTGATCGCTGAAACGCAAGGCTGACTTTTGCCCATTTAAAGCGAGCCACTATGTAGACCGGAGCCGTCTGCAGCCATCGTGTGGAGACGGCGCCACACGATGGAGCCGTCAGCCTGTGTGAGACACACCTCACACAGGCTGGTCCCCGGCTGAAGACGATGTTTCCACTGGGGAAAGGAGTTTATGCACCGTGTGCTATGATTAGAGCTGTGACATGATCCTGGTCACCTCACAGGTGTTTGTGTTCACGGTCTGGGTTTTCCAGGCATTCCCATCCAAGTATTTTGAGGATGAAGGGACGATGGAAACAGAAGATGGTTTAATTTTGAGAGCTGTGTGATGTTTAGTGATTTTGTGGTATTGCCGTAAAAACGATTCAACTTCAGTACAAAGTTCACAAAAAGGTGCAAGTGTAAAAAAAAAGCACTTGAAATGGGTTTTGTTTGTGTGAACAAGGACAGATTTTAGATATCTATAATCTGAGCGATATGTCCCAAAGGATGAATAGCCAAACAAACATCGCCACGTTTCTTCAGCGCAGATTCATAGGTCCCTTGACATGATCATTTAATTTTTTTTTTTAAAGGTTTAAATTGTCTTGTTTTTATCAATTTTTTTGCCCTTTTATAGCACAGCACACTTGTAAATCTTAATCAGTTTCTCTTCCTGGTGAAATAAAGGTTACAAACATTTTTTTTTATCCACATGCTTATCTTCATATAGCACTTTTTATGCTTTTTGTGCAAAAAAAAGGGAAGAAGGAAGATTAGTTTCGGAACAGCTAATCTGAGATGTTTTTTAATTCTTATTTTTACCTTTTGAACATCTCAGGCTTTACACTTTTTTCTCTGTCTGGTATAAATTTAGCAGCAAATGACAATAAATACACTATTTTAAAATAAAAAAGAAAAGTAAAACGTTATGAATCCTTTTCTGATTGACATGAAGCAGAGACTCAAGATTTTGCTAGCATTGTTTACCTTTCCCGTGCAGAACAGCCACGTTCAAGTCAGGGTCGCTGTCGAAGGCCTGCAGCTCCTCCAGCAGACGCCCCGCTGTCTCCTGGTCCACCGCGTTTCGCACCTCTGGGCGGTTTATTGCCACCATAATCACAGATCCCCTTCGCTCTGAGACCACGGTCTGACCTGCAGATAATGACAGATGCACAGATTAAAAAAACACTAAACATTATGGGTCACAACACTTAGGAGGAGAATGTCTGCGCTGACGCGAGTTGTGTTTATGTGCGCTACATATCGTGGCTCGAGGTTGGACCAGGCAGCCGACCCGACATTGTTTAGGTTCATCCCAGGCATCCCAGCTGCTTCCCACACCCACAGGACGCTGCCTCCAGGGGAGACGAGGCCCGGGAAACAAAGCTACTGGACGCGTGAGAGACGCTGACACAGACTGCTAAACCAAACCCAGTGGAGGATGAAAAGAAAAGGCAATTTGTCTCAGGCGAGCTTTCGACTCTGCTACACCTTAAACAAACACAGTAATTACACAGAGCTGAGCAAGCGCCAAGGAAGTGAACCGCATCTTAACTCCCTCTGTGGGACGTTGTTTGCAGTTTTATTTCAGGAACATTTTGTGGCAGAAACACAAGGAGGAAACACTGGAGGGAACTTTTGCATTATGTGAAATTCTGAACAAAACACGAACATCTAAAGAATCGCACAAGTAGTATTTAAAGCAATTTATCTCAAGATGATATAAAAACATTGAAAAATGGAAAATTTGTGATGGCTTCAATAGTTGCAAACAGCTAAATGTTATACATTACTCTCTTCTGAGGATACATCCATCTTGTTAGGTCAGAATAATTCTGGGAACAATATCTTCATCAACATATTTATTATGGGGCGGCAGAGTTATTGCAATTGTTGCCTTGTCGCAAGAATCATTGGGGAAACAAAGCATGTTCTCTCTGGGTACTTCTGCCTCCGCTAGGTCCAAAAGCATGCCTGTCAGACTACTTGGATACTCAAAATTGCCCTTAGGTGTGAGTTTTTGTGCGTCTGTCTGTTGCTTAACAACCACCGGAGATGGACTGCCATCTTTTTCCCGTTTTACTTGTGTTGGATTCGTGCTCTTTCAAACGATGCCACGGGTGAAGATTAAAAGCAAAATAATATCTATACCCTGAGTTCTATAGGAATTTGTCAAAATTATGCAAGATTCAAATACATGATCTCATCTTCATATTCTCAATGTTTCAATTAACAACACAAACTGCATAAATGTTCTTCTGGAAACTTTGCAAACTTGGAAAGAATAAGTTAACAGTTAATGTGCACCAGGGAACATAAATATTGCTGTGATAGTTAGAAATCATGTGTTAAAATGAAACTAAATGAGACTGTCAGTGTACCATGACATTTTGACAGTGCAATTGACACATTAATACATTTATCTCAACTCATTTTCATTGGGAGTTCATTTTTCAACATATGATACAATTATTCAGTTCTGTTGAACTGGGCAGTTGTACCAAGTCCATTTTTATTTATTTACATATCCTAAAATTAGAATTAGTATTTACGTTGAGGGATTCTCTGTTTACTTTAAACAAATGATTTATGACTAATATTAACGATGGAAAACTTGAAAACGTACCTCTTTTCCTAAAACTCACTTTCACGAGAAAAAAAATCTGACGTAAGTCATTCTGGACTTACACTGCATGATGAAGCAGCTGTTGTGACACAACACAACACTGTTCAGTCTGCGCTATTTTTGCAGTTTCTGGTTTGTTGATTTGATGTCCAATGAGCTACAGGTGTGTCAGAGCCTTCTTCTGCAGTCATCGCGGTGTCCTCTGCTGCCACCTGCCGTTCTCGTTGCGCTATCGCACACTCTTACCTGCACCCGCGTCTTCGCCTCCCGCTGAAGCGCTGTAGGGTTTTACTGTTTTCAAAGTCATGCTCCCACACTGACTTAATATTCTGCCTTGACGCTCAGCTGCGAAAACTTGTCCAAGAGCCCGGAAATGCTTTAGAGGCATTGCCAACACTTTCTGAAAGGGACACTCAGGCGCTCGGAAATCCACAAACAATTTCGAAATGACACTCAAGCGCTTTTGAAAGCAGTCAAGACAGACAGCTGAGCTCTGCTGGGGAGGCGCAACCCTGTTACGGGTCCTGACAGAAACCGCAGTCAAAATGCTGAAGGTTCTGAGGACAAACATGTAGTTGGTGCATTGCAGCAGTCGTACCTGCCAAAAAGCAACAGAGGGCGCTCTTCTCGAGAAAATCCAGTTTCTGGATTTAGTCACATTTTATGAATCCACTGTGATGTTGCCCCTTTTATTTGCTCCAATAATCATTCATCATGACCCAAACTGAAGGTTTGAGATTCTTTAGAAAAGGAAAATCTTAATGTATAGAACTTGAACTCATTATTGAGATTTTTGTTATTAATTCATTTACATGCAAACAATCAAACTTTTCCTTTGAATCAGGGTGTGTGCTTGAGCAACACAAAGTAGCACAAAACTGACAGCAGCATTGTGTTGCAGGTTACTTTATCTAGTCAGATAAAATCCAACTGAAGCACAAGGTTTTTGTTTGAAATCTGACACAATCACCTTGTAAGGCATTGTTGCTTCCTGTGCATTTCCCATGCGTGAATCTCAGAATTGTGCGATTTTAAGATTTACGGGGAAATGGGAAACATTTTGATTTATTTTCAGCCATTTTAATCTGCTCCACTTCTATCACATGTATAAATTATTTATTTTCATCTTTTAAATAAAGCCTGAAAAATCAACACTGGAGGACCTTTTTTAGTAAAAGATTTCTTTTAATATTTGTGGAGGGTTTTTTTTTTTTTTACACATTTTAAGGCATCATGCACAGAAATAAAAAAGAAAAAAGCCAAACTAAAGATATCATTATGCTCAACCTCTACCAAAAATTATGTTCTAGCGTTAAATATTTGCTGTTAAAAATATTTTCATACAAATATGGCATGTAAGCTGGCATGTCAGTGAACCTCAAAGCAGAGCGTCATCTGCTTTCACAGTTTTTGTAAACATGGCTTTGAGCAAAGAGGGCAGAGAACAAGTCAAAAGAACGGGACAGCATGCTTCAATATGGGGCTTAACTTCCCTGAAAAGCATGCAAATTATATTTACAATGTATTATTTTACTCAACAGAATCATTTCTCTTCAATCGCTTTAAGTTTAAGACATTAAAAATGTGTCGACGTTAACAGACAGATGAGACAGATGTGTCCATAATCGTCCCTAACCCCCGGTCCCCTGCATGGACCTGTTCAGACTTTGTCAACAAACAAAACACTACAAGATTCTTTTTTTTTTCTTACCATATCTCAAGCACTTTTTTTTTTTCTAACTTTAATATTATAGCTTCTTATTAGACTCTCCAAATCAGGCTTAGACTAGGTTTAAAAAAAAAAAAACGTTGTAGTGTCCACCCTGGCAGACATCCACAGGGTGCCAGGAGCTTTGGCACAGTTGGGTCCAGTTGTGCTCTTCTGCGGTCTTCGTCTGCGTTATACGACATTAAAGACCATGGAAAGATACTGTTCGTAAGAAACTTGGATCCAGCCGTCCTGGTCTGTGTCGTATCGCCTGAAAACGTCAGTCAACCTCTGCGGAGACGACAAAACAGCCACGATAAGAGAGCTCAAACGATCGGCTACAACGGCATCTTCACAAAATCACCACGAAAACTGGAATTGCATATTGTTCATTTAAGTGCTGCAATTTTCAAACCATTTAACGTCTGTTGTGTGATTGCTTAAAAACAGTAAAAATAAAAATTGTTCCTAGTAGCTTTCAGCTTTCAGACCACAGCATCTGTTAATCTTGCCTCTAATTTACAAACTTCTATAATTAAAATGTGTAAAAGAAAAAAATATTTGTTATGAGGCAGCATCACAATCATTTGCTACAATTGTTTATCTGTTACCTGTAATACAATGCAACACTGGATGAAGTCATCAAAGGCCACCTGTCCCTTCCTCTGCCGGTCAAACTTCTCTATCAGAGTGCCGTAGAACTGGTCTGATAGACGATAGCCTGCAGTGCAACAGTAGTAATGGTTCTTAGACAGTCTCCGTTTGTTTTTTAGCAGTTTAATGTTTGCATTAAAGAAAAAAAAAATAGATTCCTTCTTTTTTTTTTACTTTAGACAAGTTTTAGATGTAAGGTAATCAAACAGCAGGAAATGCTTAACGTGGATTAAAGCAGACCGACAGGTTTTTGTAGCGATTGATGAAGGTTAAAACACAAACATCTTATACTACCAATCAAACTACATACAAGAAAACAAGTAAAAAGGTTTTTATGTTTTCAAACTTGCCTCTAATACCTAAGCTGAAGATAAATGTTTAACCTAAATTAAAGATTAACAGAAAAGGTGAGACGGGAAGAGCAACTCAGACAAGTGGCAAGTGTAAACTGAGGTTAAACTCTGTACCGTCCTCCCGGCATGCCGCTGTCCGTACACCAGGACAGAGCCAGCAGTTGTAGCCCTCCACCAAGCCCAACAAATTCAAACTACTAAAAGCATACTTTGCTGCTCACCGAATCCGGTCAGCGCCTGTTTGAGCTCGTTCCTGTCGATGAAGCCCGAGTTGTCCCGGTCGTAGGTCCTGAAGATGTTCTGCCAGTCTGTGATGTACTTCCACACGCCGGCGAACTCGTTGAAGTTGACGCCGCCTTTGTTTTCCCTGTCAAACATGGCTGAGAGGAGGGAAGCAGAACCAGCTTAGAGACATTTTTCGGATTTCTAGTATTCCTCGTGCTTGAGGTTTTCATATTTTGCACAGGCTACGGCCACAAACTTTAAAAGAGGTGCGTGACAGGACAACACAAACTAGCGCATGATGGCAACGGTGGAAGGAAGCATTATTCATAGTGAGAATGGAAGGTCTCACACACACAAACATATTAGTAGCAACTGACTTGCACAAGCTCACTGTGTCCCCTGCATCACTGCCGACTTGCATATTTTGATTTTGGCCTGTACTGATTTTTTTATGTCTGAGAAATTGCTAAATATAGTGACAAAGTTGCTAAGTTGGCAACTTAGGCGAGTCTTTCAGTCAACCCTCTCACAACAGAGCAAAACGGGACAATGGCTTATTTTCTAACCTTTGTGGAAGTATCGACCAATATCGATCGGCCATCTGATTCATCAGTGCACCTCTAATTTTAGGTATATACCTGCTGCAATGCGGACGATCTAAATAACTGTACAAGCTCCTCAACGTGCCATCACATGTTAATGTTACACCTTAACATGTGTAACATGTTAAGGTCCCATTTTGAATAATTCTCTTAATTCAAAGAGTATTTGCTTCTTTGTTTTGGCTTGTCACAAAAAAATTCCCCCCAGAATTACATAAATGGTTGTTATGTGACAAAATATGAAAAAGATTAAATGGTGTGAATTGAGTGGTTTGAATTGAGAGACAGTTAATTAACCCTCCAAAGTAACATGAGGGTTTTATAGTGTGTTTTAGAACTCCTGCTACATAAGTTACAAAGAAATAAAACTGTTCCAGGCACCAATACTCCAGTTTCCTCACTCTCATGCGGATCAATCCAATTACCGCCCAACAAAGGGAGTGTTATCGCATGATGTGCTTCTCGCTGCAAGACCATAAAGCAATGGATTTACTGCGCTTGGTACAAACGGGAGGAAAGAGACTTATATGGATTTACTTTTAAAGCTACAACACATCAAGAGATGAAAAAGTTCAATAATCATTAAAAAAAAATGTAAAAGTCTTTTGCATCTGTGCCGAAGTAGAATCAAGGCTGCGACGACACTGCAGAGCTAAAAAGTTTGCAACCCGAGCCTCCAAACTCTGACGAATTGATATGAGGAGTCTGAGCCAGCGTTCCTGTTCTGCTGCAGATGCTGCTTTCGGCTCCGTCTTATTGTCGGCTGCAGTTTTCCCACCGGAGCGCCACAAAAGATACGTCTGTCTGTGTCCTTAATGGCTTAATCTGGCCGTCATGGCGCGGCGGGGACAGATAAACAACTCAAACGGTCTCGGCAGGAAAAAAAGAAAAAGAAAAAGGCTGCTGTGTAAAAAGCCGGGCGAGTCGCCGTTAGCAGTTACTTACAGATGATGGAGCGGACCGTCACCGGGTTGAAGGGAGTCCATGTTCCTGGGAATTGAAAAGCAGCATGTTAATGAGAAAGTCAGAAGAAGAAGGGAACAAAACAAAATAAGGAAGAATGTTTATGTGACGCAGAAAAGCTGAAGCAGATGACGCAATTAATGTGGAGATTGCTGATGAACTTTAAGATTATCTTCAGAAATATTTACTTCTCTCATCGCTGCTCTCAAAACAAATCATATTCCAGTCTTACTTCTTTTAGCATGTCATTATGTCTTATGAAAAGATACTATCAGGATGGTTGCCTGTCTGGTGCAAAGCCTGGGCTAATTTCACAATTTAACGTTTTTTTGTTGTTGTTGTTTTGCATAAACAAACAATTTGAATCACAAAACAGCAAATTAATGACAGCCTGAGTGAAATACACCGCGTTCCAAATTATTCATATCATTATACAAGTGATATTTTCTCAGATTTTCTGAAATGGTCAATGCAAATGGTGGTCAGTATCATTTTCAAGTCATGAACTATTACATTACAAATCAAATTTTATATCTTATTTTTATACATATAAAAATAAGCCTAATTTTGAAATTAAAAGTTAATATAATGTGTGAAAAAAGTATGTTAAAAGCTAGGAAATCCAAAAGGTTTTGTACATTTTCTGTCATTCTTTTTATTGAAAGAAAAAAATGTACATTTGTGCATTAAAATTGTTGTTTTCATGCAGAGACGGAAACTGGAAATGCTAATTTAATTCCACAATCCTCCAGAACTCAGTGGGGTTTTTTTTGTATCTAAAAATTTAAATAAATTGAATCAGCCTTCTGTCCTCTAAAAAAAAACACAAAAAAAACAGAAGCCAGTCAGGAAAAACCACCTCTGCACATCTGATTGTTTTAGCTTCCTCTGCCACTTCCTACTCTAGCTTTGGCTGGTATTTTATTTTAAGTAAAGCAGCGAAGAGTTGTTCATCAAACAATAACCGAACCACTAACAGCGAAACCGTCCTGACAGAAGCAGA